CACAGTGAAACACCGATCGTCGGATGGGACCTCTGTACGAGGTCCCAAACATGTGATCACTGATAGGCCAATCAGTGATCACATGCAAAGTAGTAAACAAGATGTCACTTGTGACATCATTGCTTACTACGTGTGAAATCTGTGAATGATCACAGTGGTCACATGGTACAAGGCTATTCACAACAGCCTTGTACCATGTGACAAGCTGTGACCAATCACAGCTCACTCAGTATTTCTCAATGGCTGCAAGAATGCAGACAGAAAGAGAAATTATTGCTTTTACATCCTATATGGGTGTAAAAGCAATCACTGTAAAAAATGGAGACACTGTACTGCTAGGGTGACAGTATGTAAAAAAAAAAAAATAATATCAAAAAATAAAATAAAAATGTAAAAAAAAAATGTTTAAAAATTATAATTTTTGGTTATAAACTAATTTGGCTCATTTTGTTTTTTGTACTAAAAAGATAACGGAATACATGTTTGCCAAGATTTATGATGAAAGATTATTTATTTGCAAAATTTTATAAGAAAAACTTTTTTTCAAAATTTTTGGACTTTTTCATTTACATAGCAAAAAAAATAAAAATCCCAGTGGTGAATAAATACCACCAAAATAAAGCTTTATCTGTCTCAAAAAAATGGTAAAAAAGTTATAGGGGTACAGTGTTGCATGACCGTGCAATTGTCATTCAAAGTGTGATAGCGTTGAAAGCTGAAAATTGCCCTGGACAGGAAGGGGGTAAAAGTGTCCGGACAGGAAGTGGTTAACACACACCAAGCCACTGTCTTCCCCCTTCCAGGAGATTGCTCACACCCACCTGCACAGGTGCATGCACATTTAATAGTGATCACCATTCTCACTGAAAACTCAGACATTCATTTTTTTTTTTTCTAAACCTTCACTTTGTGTGCAGGAGCTGAGCAATCAGACAAGAGGTTATGTGGATGTCAAGTATTGAAAACAGGAGCAGTATGTCCTGAAAGGTGGTACAGCTCACCATACATTATACAATCTGCTTGTACAATCTACTTTAGATCTACCACCAACTATGTAGTGCAAGAGTCTGCCTGATTGGATAGATGGTGTCTCCTCCTATTATAAAGGTTTGGTAAATCTAAAGATTGTATAGTGTATGGCCATCTTTATATATCTAAAATGAACTAGTCACACTTTCAGCCATTAATTGTTAGCAGTATCCCAAATGCACAAACATTTTGCCACAAGAAAAAAAAAAAAAAAAACGAGCGACAAACACAGTAAAATGTACAGTAAATATGTGCAGACTGCAACATGCCAAAATGTCCCATGGGATGCTTTGCCACGTGTAGGGCAGCACAATGAAATCAATGGGCTGTGCTATGTGTGTCATGGGAAAACGAGCTAAAAAATGAATGCTCCCACTACTCTAGGTATGATTGGTGCCTGAATGTGAAATTGGTTTGTTTACACAAGAACAACGAGGCTTCATTCACATCCAGGGGGGCGGACTGACAACTCATGGGGATCATGGGGCCCCTGTGTCCTTGCCCAAACTCAAAAAAGCCTATGAAAAAGGTACCAGGGGCATCTGATGGGGCCCCTACGGACCCCGGGCCCTCGGGCAGTGCCCGAGTTTCCAAATGGTCAGTCTGCCCCTGTTCACATCTGTGCACTTCCGAATACATGGCAAACTGCATAGAAAAATGCAGGCTTTGCCATGCATTTCAGAAACACACTGAAAATGTACATTGTGTTGTCATTACATGTTAAATGCACCCCAAACACACCAAAAACTGCGGTAAAATCGCACCATGCTTCGCTCCAAAAAAAGTTCTGGAGCTTTTCTGGGGGGATTGTTGTGCATAGGCGTGATGAGTGAAAGCCCTCCAAAATGCCCCCCAAAAAAACGCTTATGGGAATGTGATTTTCCACTATGTGAAGATATGAATGGGGCCTGACAGCTGAGTGTCTCCGTCCACTCCTTCCTATGTACTTGTATAAAGATGGCTATACACTGTGCAATCAGATTGTACAATCTCTGGACAATTTCCTTTAGATTTACCAGAACTATGGAATAGGAGGACACACCTGTCCAATCCATTCAATTTGTATCAAATTAGGCAGGCTCTTGCATCAGGAGATCTAAAGAAAATTGTACAAGCAGATTGTACAGAAAGTGGGAGGTAATATTGTAATGAGGGAGGTGTGGTCCAGAGTGGTGAACACGCCCTATCATGCCCTCTTCTGTGACACAACAAGGAAGTGAAGGCTTCTGGGAGATGGCCTACAGGAAGTGAATGCTAAAAACCATTTTAGTAATCCAAATAGACCGACAAGATTTCAAACCTCCTGTGGATAAGGTAAGTGAGAGAAAAGTTCATTGGGTTGGCTGGACCAGAAATGTAATTAGAAAACGCTTCTATGTATTATGAAATGTGAAATTCTTCCCGAAAAGATGAGCTTAGCCTTTAAATGGATATTAAACCCTTTGATCCAGTTTGAGGTGGTGCCATGACTGCTGCCCCAGGTTTCCTGTTTCAGGGTGGCTTTTTTTTTCTTTTAGCATCCTATGAGAGTTGTATCTCCCCACACTGTGTGTGTCAATAGAATCACACAGCCCTGTAGCCAAAGATGACAAAGCACTCCTCCTCCCTCCCTTCTCCAATCTGATATACTCCAGACTGCACTGTTCACTTTTTCCTGTGAAACTGGAAGTTTAGTCAGTGGAGTGCAGAGGTTTAGTGATGCCCAGGGCCAATGCCTTGATTGTATGCACCTAAGGGCCAGTTCACACCAAAATGTGCATGTTCCCATGCGCTTCCAGGGCATTTTCCTGCAATGTGTTTTGACAGCCTATTCATTTGAACACACTGGGCCATGAAAAAAGTAGTTCAAGCACTATTTTTTTTTTGTAAATGCACTGCAGCCAACCGCATGGTGCTGTGGCAGGGATACCATGTGATTTGGTGCTCTCAAATGCACTGTTTGCAATCTGGTTTTGGGGTGTCATTAACAATACATTGGCACCTGTACGTAGAATGCAAGGGCAGCACATTTCCCTGTGATGCGGGAAAGGCGCACAGAACACACCATGTTTTGGTGTGAATAAGCCCTTATACTCAAGTATAGGACCTATTACTGAGAAATGTGAGAAAGGAAGACTTTTTAAATGTGTAACGACAGATGAAACACAAAATAAACACTTTATTCAAATGAAATATAAATCAGCCACATTTATTAAGTTCAGTTCTCCAAATAAGATTCTCCAAATAAGAGGAATTTTTTTTCAATGATTTAGTGTCACAGAAAACACTACTTCACTTTTTTTTTTATTTGTACTACTAACATACAATGAAAGCTGTGAGGAATTTTTTTCAAGGTCCAAATGCTGAGGTGATTGTATCCGTATTAGTGAATTTGCGACAGAAACAATTCAGTACTGTCCGTGATACTTTTTTTATTTTGTACTAACACATACAATTTTCAGGACAAGCTTTGGGGTATGTCTCCTTCTTCAAGGTCCAAATAATGCTTGTAGCAAATAAAAAAAAAGTATCACAGACAGTACTCAATTGTTTCTGTTTTCAATGCTGACGAAGCCATCAGCAGGCCTGACATCAACATATGGAGAACAGCACCTTCACTTCCACAATGATTAAGGGGAAAAATCTGATAAACCTGATGACAATACTTTTTTCTGGGAAGATCAGAAATACTGAGGAATTGTGAAACCACAAGTATGAGAGACTTTTTCAGGAGAGGCCAGCTGTGGCAGCTCTCAGTACAGCCTTCTGATTGAAGATTTGAAAGGCGGGGTTCCAGAAGGGGAGACTATTTATTTTATACTTTAGAACTGACCAATTTAGGTTGCCCAAAGCGAAGAAATGATTACTGTCCTATTTGGACATATCAGCTGTACAGTCTAATTTTAGTGGCAGCATCAGATACTTACCATACAGAACTCAGTGGATATGTAATTCATGAGGAATGATCACTGTTATTTCCCCCCATGACAAGTCAGATCTGTCCAGAGAGTCCTTCCTTACTGCCTTCTTAGTATACACATACTCACATGGGGGACCCTAGAAAGATTTTGGGAGCTGAATTCTGCCTACACATCTGATCCGTCTAATATCAGTGACCACCACAGACAAATACAGATATGCAGGCACAATCTGACTGTCCTCAGACATTTATAGTGACTACTGGGTCCATAAGCACAAACGTTAACATTGGTTTTTGATTAACCCATAGAGAAAGGTGGAGCAGGCATGCTGCAGTCACTCCCGCTGTCAGTTTACCAGGGAGAAAACAGTTTCCTGGATCATGTCTGTCCTGCACCTCCTCCAACAAACTGTGGCAAGTGGTGTCTTCTAGTAATTCATAGATACTAGATTGTATCCTAATGCCAGCTGCATTATGGAACTGCCATCTAGTGTGTGAGAGCACCATTCTGGTTTTCTGCAGATACCATCAGTGTTTTTTTGCTAATATTTTCTATGTATGTTACTCAAATGTAAGATTGTGGTTGCTAGCTCCATTTGCCCTGCAGAGGATTTACCCCTCTTCCTGACCAGGCCATTTTTTGCAATATGGCGCCGCGTTACTTCAACTGACAACTGCATGGTCATGCAACGCTGCACCCAAATGAAGTTTGTCTTTTTTTCCCCACAAACTTCACGAGCTTTCTTTCGGTGGTATTTGATTACCTGTACGTTTTTTATTTTTTGTGCTATAAACAAAAAAACCTGCCAATTTTGAGAAAAAAAAAACAAATATGTGTGACTTTTTGTTATTAAACATATCCTGTAAAAAAATTAAAAAATCAAATTTTGTCATAACTTTAGGACAAAATGTACTCTGCTACGTCTTTGCTAAAAAAAAAATCCCAATATGTGTAAATGAATTGGTTTACGTGAGCGTTATAGTGTCTGCAAAAGGTGGTATATATACTGGAATGTTTTTTTGTTTTCTTTTTGTTTTGTTTTTTATAGTAGTAATGGCGGTGATCAGCAACTTATAGCGGGACTGCGGTGGGCATTCTGACACTGAGGGGGAATTTACTAACTGTCACTGACATCCCCAGTAACACTAATAGTGATCAGTGCTAATAAAAAGCACTGACACTGTACTAATGACACTGGACAGGAAGGGGTTAACATCTGGGGCAATGAAAGGGTTAACTTAACTGTGTGCTGTTTTACTCTGTGCTGTGTGTCTGTTTCACTGTGTAAGAACATGCTTTGTATGGCCTTGCAGAGCCATACAAAGCAATGTGCAGAAGCTGACAGGGGAGAGATCTGTATTGTTTACATACAGGTCTCTCCCCTGTCAGTGATACACGGCGATCGCAGGATGCTGGCGGGGAATCACCAGCCGGGACCTGTTGATTGACAGCCGAGGCCTCCAATGGCGGCGTGAGTAGGGCATGCGCCCCCTACCCAGAAATGCAAAATCTCGTATATATACGTGATTTTGCGCGGTCCTGCCGCCCTGTAGCAGTATTTTTGCTATAGGGCGGCAGGAAAGCGGTTAAAGTTACAATGCTTGTTTTTTTCTTCTTACTTTTTTCTTTGCTTTGACATCTACCAGACAACATGCTGCACGAATGCTGGCTCTCAATCCTGACTGTTATTGAGAACTGCAGTCTCTACCAACCATCAGGAACCAGTGTTTTCTGATCATGTGATCACTATATAAGCATGGCATAGTGATTACATGGAAGTTGGAGGCTTCAATGACAAAATAATCCTTCAGCCTTCAGATGCCACCTTCAGCCTGCAGTGTCCAATATGTCACAAAAATCTATAAACATATTTCAGGTATGTAATGTAATAGAGTTTATGTTTTGTAATAGAGTTATTGTCAAGTTAACCAGCATATGTTGATGCTGATTAATTTGGCCTGGACTTCTAGACATCAGTGACCCCAGGTCACAGAAGGGTTAAAGTGACACTAAACCTTTAAAAAAATCTCTTCAAGTATGTATTCCTAATTCAAAAAAGTATGTTCTATAGCTCTCAGCGTCCTCCAAATCCCCAAATTCCTTTTTTTTCTACTGTGATCTGACATCCTGTCAGACGGTTGCTATGTTCGTTCTTCATGGTCCCACTGTGTGTAGGAACCCAGCCACCCTCTCTCACTGCTGGGATAGACTAATGCAGGCCAATGGGTCGAATTCTGAACTAATTTTCTTTAGAAAATCAGAAATTTGTAATCCGATGGTGCCGCCACTGATTTCGAAATTCAACCTACCTAGCCTTCAATTTCACCTCATGTTGCTACAGAAAAGGATTTTCGTGGCCAAGAATTTTCTTTTCTTTCCAGGTCACAGCCCATGCTCGTTTCTTTTTCGATTATATTTCTTGCTCGATTCTCCCTTCATTGATTCAAAATTTTTTGTTTTTAAAAACATTTCCAACATGCCCACCCGATCACTCAAATTCGATGGCTACACAAAAATCGTCCGTTTCTGTGATCCACTAATGGTGCGAAATTCGAACGAACATTCTTAGAAAAGATTTTAGAATGAAAATTCTTTTGGAATTTGACCCATGTATAGCCAGCTTAAGAATACAGCTATGTTTTGTGTAGTGTACACATAGCCGTGCACATGACTGCAAGTAACATGGACTGCTTGTTCCAAACAGTGAAAAGGAAGTTTGGACACTCCTGGAGGACATTACAAGGAGGCAGAAAGACAATAATGATTTCATGAAAAATAGCTCACAAGGTTATTAAGTAGTGAATGTATATGGATTATTTTCGGAGGCTAAGGACATTGTTTAGAGTGAACCTTTCATGTTAGCTGTTAATCAAAATTTGAAGTATGCTTTGGTAACTGCTCATCATGTTTCTTAAAAGAGAAGAATGGGAATAATTTTTTTATTTTAAATCATACTTACCTAGGTGGATGCAGCATCGATCTAATGCTGCTGTACATCTGTCCCCCGACGGCTCTAAGGGTGAGAACTCCGCAATCACATGACCTGAGTTCTCACAGCCGCTCTGAGCAGTGAGCGGTGACTGTCAGTCACCGCTGTCTGCTCTTCCCCCAGCTCCCAGTGGAGGGGAGGCTGAGAGGCTGAGCCAGGTGATGCTTCAAATTCTGGGGTGGATCCTGACTTTAATGTCAGGATCTTTCCCCAGCCTGGAACTGGTTGAGTGACGTCAGCCGACACAGACTTCAGCCTGCTGTCAGCCTAAAACGGGACACAGGAGTGCAGAACGAACTGCACTCCTGTGATCCACAGAAATACAGGCAAAAGAGCTGTGGCTGTACTTCTCCTTTAAGAAGATTTGCTTGCTTTCTTCTATTTTTACATTCTGACTTCCTATTTGCAGTATTACTTTCAGTGTGTATATACAACTCCTTTCTTAGTATATTCACCCACGTCCTGTTTATTCGATATTTCTCCCTGTGTATATCAGGTCCAATGTAAAACTTCTACCTAAAGAAATTGAAATCCCATTAATATGGTGAATATACTGATACACATTCCACTTTACTTTGCATACACTATAAATAGTGCAGACTAATCTAACAGCCTGCAATGAAGATTACTAGAAGAAAAGAGGGTGTGTTAGTTTTTTGTCCTGTTATGAACTGTATTCTGTAAGGCAAAGCTAGGGGTGCCTGCTTGGCTACTCTCCTGACACTGCTCTCCATAATCATATGCCTGGACACTTGGGTGATGTCAGTCCACTTGTTAACACGTTTTTAAAAAGTTTATCAGTCTGATTAATTTTGCACATCAACTGCCATCCCATCTTCTCGGCCTTTTGGCTAAGATCAAGTGTAGTATCTGTTCTTATCAGTGTCCAGTGGGGGTGCTCCCGGCCATTCTAGCTTTGCGGGGATGGCTGTTGTATAGTACCCTCACTGGTATGATGGGGGTCCGGAAGGCTAGTACCGGAGGGACAGAAACCGGGGAACGCCACGAGTTATGCTGGGGCCCTGGGAGTAATTCCTCCGAGAAGACTGGAAAGACCCAGTACCTCCTGATTTGGACGGATCTACCTTGGTCTGGCCAGGGGCTGAGGAGGCAGAAAGTCCGCAAACTCGGTGCCCCCTGAGTAGACGCTCTCAAGGGTGCCACTAGTAACACCTGGGTGTGGGACCCCCCTGTGTGAACATGGCACATGCTCACTGTTTTTACATTCTTTTTGCACAGCGCCCTAAGGACCAGGCCTTTTGGCTAAGTCCAGGGCAATTTTTGCTACGGGCCTCAGGGCCTGGTCTGTGCACTATTTGGCACGGTACCACTTTTTTATTTTCTATTTATTTAATTTATTTACACCTCCCACGTTTGTCACTTTCTCTTTCGCTTATGTGTGTGTTTTCACGGATGGAGGGCGTGGGTCCTCCGGCCTACCCTGAAGTCTAGGGGGAGGCTGTGTGGCCTTTTGGTTCCTTCCACCCCTGATCCCTAGGGGGCTTTTCTTCGGGAGAGCCCCCTGACCAAGTACTGTGTGTCTGGCTTCGGCTGGACAAAAGGAACGGTGGTCCACCAGGCCTTTTGGCCAGGAGGACCAATTGGGAACCTTGTCCCCGTCAGGAGCTTCGTGCCCCGGGGGATCAGGGTAAGCGGTCCAAGCCCCTTTAGGGGTAGGACACAGCACACCCCTAAGTGCACTTTTTCGTGTGGTGTTTTGCACTTGCACTTTTTTGTGATACACGTACGGGTTTTCCGTTTATAGTTGCACGTTTGCGGACTTAAAAAAAAAAAAAAAAAACTGCCATCCCATCTTTGGAGAACGTTACAGTATGTACACCTTTGGTGTATTAAAAATGCTTTAAGGCGATTGTAAAGGTATAATGTTTTTCTAAAATAAAAAAGATTTTTATACTTACCTGCTCTGTTCAGTGGTATTGAACAGAGCAGTTCCTCCATTTCTGTAGTACTCTGCCAGTGCTTTTGACCCCTCCTCCCTTCTGAGTGCCCCCATAGCAAGCCACTTGCAATGGAGGCACTTTTGCAGGCTTGATCCCAAGCTGAGCTGTGTGTCTATAGACATACACAGCACAGCATGACCCCACCCCCTTCTCCCATGATTTGATTGGTCCATTGGCTCCTGTGAGTAGACAGAGAGAGCAATATTGCTGCTCTCAAGCACAGTGCTGGATCGAGATAGATCTCAGGTAAGTATTTTTTTTGGGGGGAGCTAACCCAGAGGGTTTTTTTTACCCTAATGCAGAGACTGCATTACAGTAAAAATGCCTTTAGAACCACTTAATGTGTTGTGGTAATGTGTGGTTTACCTATGACACTCGTACTACATCCATTTTGAACAGCATCTCAATGCACTCATACAGTAGGGGCAATGTGCCTGCCACGTGAGTAGTGATGTGCTGTGTTACCAAAATATGTCAGGTCCTATTTTGAATGTGATGTGGAGTGTTAGCAGCAGATTCAAAATGGATAGGCTGCTTTACTGCAATGCACATTGAGAATTTATTTATTTATTTCAGGTACTTATATAGCACCGTCAATTTACGCAGCACTTTACATATATATTATACATTCACATCAGTCCCTAACCCTCAAGGGGTGTACAATCTAAGGTCACTAGCTTACATTCATACATACACATACTAGGGACAATTTAGACAGGATCCAATTCACCTACCAGCATGTCTTTGGAGTGTGGGAGGAAACCGGAGTACGCGGAGGAAACCCACGCAGGCACAGGGAGAACATGCAAACTCCAGGCAGAAGGTGCCGTGGCTGGGATACGAACCAACGATCCTAGTACTGCCAGGCGGAAGTGCTAACCATTTAGCCACTGTGCTGCCCTACTGAATGTGAATGAATGAATGTGTATGCAGGACACACAGAAAACAATTGTTATGTATGTGTCCTAACAACACTGAAACACAGCCTGAAGCTGCACTGCAGTGATCTGTTAACCATTAGCCGCCTGGCCAATGGCCGAATAGCGACGTGCAAGATCCATTAGCATTCCAGGTGGATGCCATATGGCATCCTCCCGGGCATGCGCAGTTTGCGCACCTGCAGAGCCGCGCAGTGGCGCGATCTGTCACCGGCCGTGTACCTTGGACACGGCCGATGACAGATCTGAGTACCGACCCCGTTGCCGATACCATGTGACCTGCTGTGACCAATCACAGCAGGTCACATGATAGTTGTATACAATGGATGGCTTCATTCATGCCATCCATTGTATACTAGTGTGTGTAGCTGTGCTTGGTCTTAGTGATCACATGCACAAGCTGGGCTAATCACAGCCCAGCTGTGTCATGTGATTAGCTGCGGCCAAATCACAGCTAAGCACAAAAAAAAACCCCTGAAACCCCTATAAGCAAATTGTGTAAAAAAAAAAAAAAAAAAAATACTGATCACTTCCCCAAAGTAGTACAATGTTACTATGGTAACATTGTACTACTTTGGTCATAGTGAAATATGAAAAAAAAAAATCGTAAAAAAGAAAAAACA